ACCTCAGGGAGGGTAGCCGAAACAATATGGGACCCTAACTTCTTTTTGAGCTGAGAAATATGAAAAGTAGGATGAATTCGAGAGGTAGGGGGTAATTGGAGAGTGTACGCAACTGAACCAACCCTTGCTATAATTTGGAAAGGACCAAAAAACTTGGCTGAAAGTTTTTGGAAAGTATGAGATTTCAATGATGTCTGTCTGTAAGGATGTAACTTTATGTAGACCCAATCCCCGACTACATAAGACCTATCAGTTCTTCCTTTATCAGCTTGAGACTTCATTCTACTTTGGGCTCTAGTTAAATGAGACTTTAGGCATCTCAAGGTAGCCTCTCTGGCTTGTAAACTCCTATCGACCATGTCAAGTTGGGAGTCGAAAGGCATGTAAGGAAGGAGCGGAGGAGGTGTTTGACCATAAACAACAGCATAGGGTGTCATGTTAATAGCAGAATGAAATGAAGTGTTGTACCATCATTCGGCTAGGGCCAACCATTGGGGCCATTCCCTAGGTTTCTCAAACGTCATGCACCTGAGATAACACTCAAGACATCTATTAACAACTTCAGTATGCCCATCTGTCTGAGAGTGGTATGCCGAGGAAGTGAGCAAGGTGACCATCTGCAATTTGAACAATTCTTTCCAAAACCTGCTTGTAAATACTGGATCTCTATCAGAAACTATGGTTTTTGGCATTCCATGCAATTTGAATACCCCATTCATGAAAGCCTGAGCCACCTCCACTGCAGTATAAGGGTGCTTGAGTGCCAGAAAGTGAGTTGTTTTGCTCAACCTGTCAACTACCACAAAATTAACCTCATGTCGAGCGACCTTAGGAAGACCCTCAATAAAATCCATCGAAATATCTTGCCACACTTTGTCTGGAATTGGTAGAGGTTGAAGAAGGCCAGGGTATGCTACATTTTCACCCTTGCACCTTTGACAAACATCACAACATCTAACATAGGCATAGACATCCTGTTTCATTTTCTTCCAGTAAAAATCCTATTTAAGCCTCTGTAAGGTGGCTATTCTACCAGAATGACCTCTACTAGCACTGTCATGGTATAAAGCTATCAGATCTTTTCTCACTGTAGCCACAGAGCCTACCATCATCTTACCTTTTCTACTCAAGATCCCAGTATGATAACTGTAGTAAGGTTTAGTAACACCTGCAGTCTGAATGGAAGTGATTAGTTTTTGTAGCACAGGATCCTGCAACCACGAGTTCTTAACATCTTCAAGTAGTTGAGTTTGAACCCCAGAGATGCTACAAAGCTGGATGGGTTCCTCTTTTCTAGAAAGAGCATCTACAACAACATTGTCTTTGCCTTTTTTTTATATGAATAAGGTAGTCATACCCAAGTAGTTTGACCAATCACTTTTGTTGGCTAGGGGTGGTGATCCTTTGCTCCATCAAATATTTGAGGGGTTGATGATCAGTTTTAATTACAAATTGCTGACCCAAAAGATACGGCCTCCACTTCTGGACAGCTGACACTATTGCTAACAATTCCCTTTCATAAACTAATAGGGCTTGATTCTTTATGGACAACCCTTGACTGAAAAATGCTATAGGTCTGTGATTTTGTGCAAGTACAGCACCAATACCTCCTCCAGAGGCATCTGTTTCCACTATGAATTCTGTGGAAAAATCTGGTAAAGCTAACACAGGTGCTGAAGTAATGGCCAATTTGAGCTTGTCAAAAGCTTGAGAAGCAACTTCAGTCCATTTGAAACTTTCTTTCTTCAATAAGTCATTCAAAGGTCTTGCTATGATACCAAAACCTTGGATAAACCTCCTGTAGTACCCTGCAAGTCCCAAAAACCCTCTCAATCCTTTTAAAGTTATAGGTTGGGGCCAGTTCACCACATCATCTACCTTGCTTCCATCCATAGCAACCCCGTCTTGAGAGATAATATGACCTAAATAGTCAATCTGTTGAACCCCAAATGCACATTTACTTTTCTTCACATACAAAACATTATCTCTAAGAATCTTGAAAGTTTCCCTCAGGTGAGAAAGGTGATCAGTCCACTTAGAGCTGTAGACAAGGATATCATCAAAGAATACTAAAATGAACTTTTTGAGATGAGGAAGAAATATCTCATTCATCAAGCTTTGAAATATGAAGGGGGCATTAGTTAGGCCAAAAGGCATGACTATGAATTCATAATGACCTTGATGGGTTCGAAAAGCAGTTTTTGGGATGTCAGGCTCAAACATCCTAATCTGATGATAACCTGATCGTAGATCCAACTTAGAGAAATACTTTGCTCCATGTAGTTCATCTAGCAATTCTTCAATCAATGGAATGGGAAACTTATCCTTGATAGTACGAGTATTCAGTTCTCTGTAATCGACACACATTCTCCATGAACCATCCTTCTTCTTAACCATGACTATGGGTGAAGAATATGGACTGGTACTAGGCCTTATCACTCCTGAATCCATCATCTCATTGACCAGCTTCTCAATCTCATCCTTCTGAATTGCAGGGTACCTGTAGGGTCTAATGTTGATAGGAGAAGTGCCTTCCTGCAAGACGATTCTATGGTCATGATCTCTTGATGGTGGTAATTCAGTTGGTACCTCAAACAAATCATTGAAATCTCACAGTATCTCCTGTATGTCAGCTTTATCCTTACCAACTTCATCAGAAGTGTTTATAGAAAAGAAACTACTTGCTTCCCCGCTGTACTCCTCCCCCAAATACATACCCATAGAGATCAAGCATAGTTCGGCTAGTTTAGCTAACAATTTATCCATGCCACTCTGCTGTAACATCTTAGCTGCAGGAGGTTTGACACCCCTCAGAGACACCTTGTGACCCATGATACTGAACTCTATTTTAAGTTGTTTAAAATTCCACATTATATCCCCCAACGTAATTAACCATTGAACCCCAAGGACCATGCTACACCCTCCAATAGGCAGTACTAACATGTCAGAATCGAATGAGACCCCTTGCATTTTCCAAACCAACTTCTTACATATATACTGGCAATGCATCTTCTTTCCATCAGCCACAGACACGGGAAAAGGGGAGATAGCAGTTAAAACACATCCTAACCTTTTGGCAGTGTTTAAATCCAGAAAATTATGAGTACTCCCTGTATCAATTAGGACTTGTACAGCCTTGCCTTTAATAGATACTGTAACTCTCATAGTCCTAAAGTCATGCAGTCCATTCATGGCATGAACAGACACATGAGGCAGAATGGCCCCTTGATCATCAGTCTCCAGGGAATGGCCTATCATAGTCAAGAATTCTGCAGGGTCTACTGCAACTTCCTGCTCTAATTCTTCAACACCCTCACTGTCCTCCTCTACTTCCATAGAAAATAATTGTCGCTTCTTCTTACAAACATGCCCATAAACATACTTTTCATCACAATTAAAACATAGTCCTTTGCTCCTCCTTTCATCCATCTCGGCAGGTATTAATAGTTTGACATTTTTCAGGTTAGGTTTAGGGTTATTAGAGAAGGTCGTGGAATTTTTAGAAGGGTTTGGATGACTTCTACCGGATTGGTAGGTGGATCCATAAGAAAAAGTGGGATTAGTTCTGGGATTGGAAAGTACTGAAGATCCAGAAAATACTTGCTTCTGGACAACTAAGGTTTGTTCCTGTATTCTAGCTAAGTTAACTGCCTTAGCTAGTGACCTTGGTGCAAGCATTTTAACAGGCAAGCCAATTTCTGGTTTTAACCCTCGAACAAAGCAACTAACAACCTGATCTTCTGATAGTTCAACCCTAGTGATTAATTCATCAAAAAGATCGACATAGTCTTGAACATAGTTTACCTGTCTCAAGTCCTTGAAATCTCACATTGGATCGTCAAATAGTTCAGCCCCAAACCTAGCATAGAGGCTTCCTATATACTCAGTCCAACGTGGCCATTCCCTTGACAGCCTGTGCTTCATATAAGATTGGTGTCATTGGAGTACCTTGCCCTCGAAGTTGCAAGATGCCAGCTTAACCTTTGAGTCTTCCGGGGTTTCATCTACATCGAAAAATTGTTCACATCTATAAAGTCATTCCCTCAATCCCTGTCCATCAAATTTAGGGAAATCCATCTGGTAATTACGTGTAGGTAATTGATAATTCCCGGATCTATTTTCACCCTTAGGAATTCCTTCAGCTAGGGGTCAACACCACCATGGGTGTTCGTAGATGTTGCCAGCAATCTTTGAAATTCATCCATGGCCTGAGCCACACTAGCATCCACAGTCTGTCGAATCTCTGCGACGGAGCTGGTTACTCCTTCCATGGAGTGTTTGAGACTGTCGACCTCCTTGCGCAGCTCCTACATCCGAGTGTTGTGATCTCCCAATGCCACAGATCAGAGAATACTTTGCTCTGATACCAATAATACAATGTCAATTGAGTAAGCCTAAAGAGCAAGGAAGATTGATAGTGCTCTTGAACAGCTGAACCCGATTCTTCCAAGGAAGAAGATGAATTGAGAGAGAAGAGATAGAGAGAGAGAAAGATAATTTCTTATTGATCTGAATTGATACCTTTACAATGAAATCAACGAGTATATGTAATAGAGAAGGGACAGCTGTCCACAATTCAGTTATAACAACTAGTAACCAACTTCCTCTACAACTATTACAACTCACGTGTCAGTCACGTGTCCCACTTAACAGACTCAAATACAAAATTAACGACTAACTGGATTTCTAATCAATTGACATGTAACAGATTTTTGCCTGTGGGTTCTATTAATGGATTGATTTGTCTTGCCCATGGGTATCACTCACCAAAACATTTGTTTATATGGAATCCATCTATTAGGAAGTACAAGAAATTGCCTAATTCTAGATGTAAATTTAGATATGATGCATGTATGTATGGTTTTGGGTATGATGAGTTCCGTGATGATTATAAGGTAGTGGGTATTTTTTGTATTTATGGAAGTTCCCTTCATATTGACTTCAAAATATATAGTTTAAAGGGTGATTCTTGGAGAAAGATTCATTATTCACAAGATGGGATGTCTTTCAGTAGACGGAGTGTATTTGTGAATGGGAAACTTCATTGGACTACTCATTCTCTTGATCAATATGTGTATAAGGGTGGAGGCATTGTTTCCTTTAGTTTAGCTGATGAGAATTGGGGAAAGGTGGAGGAGCCATGCTATGGAGGAAAAGAAAGTATTTCGGAGTTGGGAGTGTTTGGAAATAATCTTTGTGGGTTTTCTCATGATCTGGCGATTGGCGTAGATGTTTGGGTTATGAAAGATTATGGAATTACAGAATCTTGGACAAAGATGTGCACCATCACGTATCCAAAACTCGAGAGATATTTATATTTTCCATCCGTTTTCTTGTCAAATAATGGTGATGTTTTGGTTGGGTACGGATCAACGTTCATCATATACAATCCAAAGGATGACTCCCTCAAATATCCAAAGGTTATTAACTATAATGAGTGGCGAATAGGGGAAATCTACATTGAAAGCCTAATTTCTCCTCTTTCTACAGAAGGGCTTAGGTCGAAACAGAAACAATGTGTGAAACAGCTCAAATCAAGTCAGTCTAGTGACAAATAACTGGTAAGGTTACTTTTTTTGCTGTTAAATTCTGTTTGTTATTTCAGATATAGAACTAGACAATGCATATGTAAAAGACATCTTCAAACCAGATTCCGTGGGTTCTCGTTAGTCATATTTCCTTTATGCACTACTCTCATGAAACAATAGTTTTGTCTCTAATTTCAAACGAAATGGCGCTGGACATTTCTGCTCTTGGTGAGCAGTGTTTTAAGGGAACGTTACACCTCTAGACATAGTAAATAAAGAACACCAGGAACTTGTGGCAAGTGAATGCGCCGATAACACCGAGGTCCTTCACTGGGCTGTTGTTTGATCTCGGGGGCTTCTTTGATTACTCTCTCAGGCTTCCGGTCCAAAATATAAGTCCACTTAGCCTTTTTATCTTGGTTCGAAATAAGTGTTCACATACATAATCAAGAAGGACTTAATTATTTTCTTTAAGGTTGGTACAAGTTCAAACTTTTGCCATCTTTGGTCTGTCGAACAAAACTTAGCAAAATTCTTTTACAGTATCTTGTTTCTAATTAGTGGCAATTTGTACTCCCTCAGTTCTATTCTACTTGTAATGACTATTAGAGTGAAGCGAGACTATAGATAATGGGGAAATTGAGGAGAGAAATAGATTCTGATTTTGAGAGGTTCCTAATCTGAGTTACTTTCCAGGTTCTTCTTATTGTATCCTGAATAGAGCTGCAAACAGTGTCTATACCTTCTTTAGCAGAACAGATGTTATCATCACTGATGGTCATCCTAATCGTGTGTCTTTTAAACTATGTACAAAACGTAGGGCTTCTTGAGATTTTCATGGTTCGTCAAATAACATCTGGTCGTGTACCGTACTGTTTATTTTGAGAATCTGAAAAGTTTTCAGATCAAGCAACTGAAAGAAATACAAAGGAGGGATAGTAATAACGTCTGTAAGAATAAATCTTGACCTCTTGATACTCTTGAGGCCATGGTTCCTTCAGTTTCGTTTGCATTAAGATTTTAAGTATGTTTTGCCTGAGACTTGAGAAAATGAGAGTATAAGGGCTTGGATGGATATTGAAGCAACTAAATCAATTTATTTTTCAGATAATGTAATTATCATATATTTGACTTGTGAAAAGAAGCTTATTCTTTTGCTAGAGAAAATGACCAAAATGGTCCGTATGGGGGTTGAATTATTTTGGTCCTTAATATATACCACTTGATAGAAATAGTCCTTAATGTATGCAAGGGGTATTGTTTTGGTCCTCAACCCTAAAGTTAACTGTCCTCTGTTAAAAACTAACGACCCCTTCCTTTGCTCTGCCCCTTTCTGTTTATCTCTCAATTGCATCCTCTTCCTAAAATAGATTTAAATTCAACACTCATTGGAATACTTGGATGAGAAATTCAATGGTACTTATTTGAGCAGCTTGTTTCGTTTTATGATAATGAATTCCATTTTCTGATAATGGCATGCATGGCAATATTTTTAGAAACTTTGATTGAATTAAAAAAAAAGAGTTATCCATTTGAGGACGATTCATAGGATAAAATTAGTAAGATAATAACATAGAGCAGTAGTAGATCCAAGCTTAAGGATGGATACGCCCACAAAAAAATTATCCATTATTTTAATACTATTAATTTACAATCTACTTATAATCGCTTTAAATGAATTAGATGATTTTTGGATTTAATGAGGCCAGTTAATTAATTCTACGAAACATGAAATCAGCAGGTCTGTGCCCTTTCACTGAATCCGTGATTCAGTTTGACACCACAAGGTAGAAGTTGCTTAAGAGAAGAAGAAAGGATTATTTTTTTTGGTTGCAAAATTTATGAATGTGTTTGAATAAGCTTCATATAGATAGGGTGGACTATGATCCTTGAAACAAACTCGATTCCAACAGAAACACAGTTATATATATTAATCACTGAATACAAGTTACAATGTAGGATAGGCACAACAAAATAATAATACACTAACTAAGGAGAGATTAACCGAGAAAGAAGTAACCAGAAAGGGATGAGATACAAGACCATAGAAAGGAGATGAGAGGATAGAAAGCCAAAGCTTGACATAATAATTTTCCATAACCATTCTTCTAATTCCTAGTCCTTTTTAACAAAGTGTAAATGGGCCTGGATCCCAAATAAAACTCTCTAATAGCCCGTAGGCCCTTATGGGGTCAGTTTGGTTCACAACAATACTCTCACCCTAAAAAAGAACCTTGTCCTCAAGTTTCATGTCGGGAAACTTCATTCGGCAACTTGGAGTATTATAATTGCCTTGGCTGCTACAGGTGAAAACCATTAGGAATAATATGATGATTTTGTTGGCAGCTTTGAGGATTGCAGAATTAACTCCATCACTCTTGCTTAGCTTCTGAACCTTCATCACTTTGTACAAGATAACATGGCAAAGATATATAATACTTTGAGATGTGTCCAAAAGAGTAAACCACCTAATAATGTCATTCAAACTTCCATATATCATGATTTTGATCTTAGAAACGTTACTGGCAGCAACACGAGGAACAAGTGACATATTAACTAACAAAAACTCATTGATATAGCTAACAAATTCTGCGATGTCCTCGCTCCATTCTTTTTCAACATCAATTCCTTTTCTATCAATTGATATATGATGCAAATGATACTTCTTAACATACTCCAACCCGTCAAAGCTAAAATTGTTCACCTTCAAATTCTGACGAACAGTTTTAGAAGCTCCTTCTTCCCCCTGTCTCTCCATTGCAATTAAGCCATAATGTAATCTATGGAGCACAACCAAGTCTACCCTCTCAATGACACCATAAAATGTGTAACCAGTAAGGTGCACAACTTGAAGCTTCACCTTATATCTATTTCGTAACTTTAATACCTTCCACTCCTGTAATATGATAGTAAGTACATCAGTTGCGGGCTGCACTTTACTATTTAAATTTGCAGTGTATAGATGAGCATTTGTCTTGGAATCAACCCCACCAATTACGACAAGCCCATCGAAGTCGAATTTCAGCTCTATTTCAACAGATTTCTCAATTTGGCCTAGGAAATTCAATAGGAAAACTGAGAAAGGTGGCTTTGGAAGTGGTCGTGGCAGCCGAGGTTGAAAAGTTTGTACCCAAAGAGAGACCAGGAAATGATATAACACACTGTCAAAAGGAAATGCACCACAATCAAGAAACTGACCATGATTAAAGTGAATATGTCGCGAAACAGTCCTTGATTCATGAATTAGACCAAACATAGCACACAAGAGTTTAACAACTCTATTGACCGGAATATTTGGTGACTGCCTTGAGTAACTTTCAACAAATCCTTGAAGCATTCTCCGTACTTTCTCCTCTATAACATTCTCTCTTGATTTAGACGATAAGAAATCATAAATATTTCTTCCCTGCCCAGTATCCACCCAGTTGCGAGAATTTCTTAAGGTTGACATAATAAACTTATCATGATCCAAGTCACTCGAGGCAACACAAAATACCAAATTATACATAGTAAGTAAACTAGAGCCAGGATCAAATGGAAACTCTAAGCCAAATTGATCAGGTGGAAAAAGATTCATAATCAAGAGAATAACATCATGACCAAGTCTACTGGTTATACCTCTAGTTGTAAGGTTGGGATAACTGCAAGTTGACGGAATTGAAGACATCTTCTTCCAGCATTGAGCAAGCCCGAGTCTATGTTGAGGGTAAACTTTTCCATCTCTGATGGTAGCAATTTCTTCTTCATCATTCTTGTCTTCACTTTTAGCATCATTTTCACAATCAGTTTCCTCAGCAGTAGGAGAGACAGAATATGTCAGATCACTAGGAAAATATGCCGCACTAGTATCTCCTATTGTCAACTTACACACCTTGTGGGGATCCTCAACTTCAAGTTGACTAAGCTTACAGGATATGTCAATGGAATTTGCGTCTGTGGGTCTTTCAGACAAGTCATCAAGCACCTTGGGCGCATTGGTTTTGTTGTTGCCTTCAGATTTCTCGTCACAGCATTGCGGCAAAGGTGAGTTGATTATATCGTTCCATTGTGGAGAAACATATGCAATATCCGACGCGAGTACATTAAAGTCACCATATCCCGACGAGACATCCTCAAAACGACTTTGGTAGTCAATCACAGAGGTTACCTGCTGATTATTGAGCAAGTGACATCTTTGGGATTCAAGATGCTGTTTACGAAATCGAATCATTACCTTTGCAGTAAAGTGTTTCCAATCTGCCAACTGTTTGTTCTGAAAAAGCCATAGATACCACTCCAATGCTTCCCCATCGAGATACAATGAGGCAAGAGATAACTTATATTTTTCTGCGATTTCATAGAATTCAAAGTAGTGTTCAGCCTGGAAAATCCATGCCTCTGGATTATCACCACAGAACCGTCCAAAGTTTATGGATGCGTACTTATGACGAAACGTCGGTGGTGCCGGAGACAGATCTCTATTCTCATACATCAGAACGTTGTTTTGGGGCCTTGCAGTTGCAATTTTTCCAACCAACCCCTGTAATATTGAACGAATTTCAAACATCTCCTTTGACCACGAATTTTTCTTGGGGTTAATCGAATCATAAGGAGTTCGTAATTTTTGGTCTTCCATGAAAGACCTCTGGATGAAAGCACCAATGAAACAAACTTGATTCCAACAGAAACACAGTTATATATATTAATCACTGAATACAAGTTACAATGTAGGATAGGCACAACAAAATAATAATACACTAACTAAGGAGAGATTAACCGAGAAAGAAGTAACCAGAAAGGGATGAGATACAAGACCATAGAAAGGAGATGAGAGGATAGAAAGCCAAAGCTTGACATAATAATTTTCCATAACTGTTCTTCTAATTCCTAGTCCTTTTAACAAAGTGTAAATGGGCCTGGATCCCAAATAAAACTCTCTAATAGCCCGTAGGCCCTTATGGGGTCAGTTTGGTTCACAACAATCCTCTTATTGAGGAAGAACATACACTGAAGAAGAAGAACCAGTAAAGGGGCGGGCACAAGCAAACAGAAGAGAGATGACTTGGGGGGTGGGCCGTTAGTTTTTAACAGATAAATGTTAAATTTAGGGGTTGGGATCAAAGTGATACCCATCTTGCATACATTGAGGACTATTTCTATCAA